AAAGTCTGTTGTACGAAAAAGTGCTATGTCGATCGCTATAACAAAATCACTCATTGTGACATCACGGGTGACTGTTAGGGCTGTTTCTATTTTCCGCGCCCCATATGGGAATTGGAGGGTAAGTTGGATGACAGAATTTGGAGGAACGAAGATCAAAAGAATAGTTGGGAAAGGCAAAGGGACGAATTGAAAAAGGAAAAACAAGAGTTGAAAGAGAATAAAAATGACTGGAAGGAGCAGATGAAGATTTTACAAAATGCACTAGTTGAATTTAGCAAGAAAGGAGAAGGTAATGAATAAATTGCGTAAAAAAATATACAAAAAATTATTTTCCATTTTGTTTATTTATTTATTTGATATATTGTTTACAATGCTGACTAACTTGTTTCTTCCTTGCAAATTGCACTGAATCGTAGTAGGAAAAGTCAAATGTAAATTTGAGGAAGAAACAGAAGTAGAAGAAGGTAAAGTAAAATGATTTAATATTCCTCATAAAGTTTGATAATGTGAAACAAAATAAATTTATCAAATATTTTCCTTCATAATAGGCCCAATTAACAAATTAATAAAAATAAGCAAAAAAAAACAACCAAGTGCATCAAAATTTGCAGAAAAAGGTAAATAGGAATCCTTGTTGAGTGATGATGATCCTCCTTTTTATATTTGCCACCCAACTGGAAAATTTGATATTCCATTGACACTATGTCACCCTGTTTTTGAAAAGTCCATGCTTGATTGTGAATCAACATTGTTTGATGATGAAAGAAAGAAAAAATTTTCAGGTTAGTATGTGCAATGGGAGATACTTATGATTCAGAAAATGACAGGGAAAAAGAATTTGAAAATAAACTTAACAATTTTTTGGGGTATAATATAGATGGAAAAGATAGGAAGAAGAGGAATTGTAATGAAGAAGTTAGATTTGATGCATTAGTAAAGTTAGAATACTCAAAATCAGAAAAGGATGCCTTGTTGGTAGGATTTGAATACAAAAACGAATCTTCGAAGGTTGATCCATATGTGCAAATCAGCACATACTACCAAGAATATGTGGTTCAACATGCTGAAGATGATGAAGACTATAGATGCTGCCCAAATTAAAAATTCAGAATCCCAAATCCCAAATTAATTTGTGCATCCCAAATGTAGATCAAATCCCTGTACTTGCTCTTCTGACCAATAAGCATCCAGGATAATAAAGGGATCATAGATCACACTCACAAATTCTGGGTGCTTATTGGTTGAGCAGGAAAACTGATCTACATTTGGGATTTGGGAATCTTTCAGTAGGCTGTCCCAAATTTAATTTGTGCATTTGGGATGCCACAATCCCAAATAGTTTGGGATTTGGGCAGCATGTATAGTTATGATGCACACAGTTTCTGTGCTGAACATCAAATAGCACCAAAAATCATTCATTATTCAGACATAAATTCTGGGTATAAATTTATTGTAATGGAATATCTTGATGGATATGAGACTATAAATTCATTGTTTTCGAAAGTAAAAAAAGAAGATTTGAAGGAGATAAAAAATTCTATAAAAGTTTATTACATGACAAAAACTTTGTTCATGGAGATTTTCAACTAAATAATATACTTGCTAAAAAAGTAGAGGATAGATGGGTTATAAAAATTATAGATTTTGAATGAGCAGGTCCAGAAGGAAAAATTAGATATCCATATGTGACCATGAATCCAAAGATCAAATGGCACAATGAAGCAGGGTTGGCAAATTGACTGGTCCATTGAGAACAGATGGATTTTGGATGGTCCATTGCAATTAATAAAATAATAAATATGGTCAAAGTGTTACACTAATGGACCCAATGGACCACCAATAGACCATCAATGGACTGCACATTTGCCAAC